AGAAACATTTTAAACAGTGCACTCAAAGTATGAAAAAAGTCAAAGAAACCCTGTAAGACCCAAACACCCTGCAAAATTCTGATTTTTTTGGAACTGAGATGTTTACTAACCCTTATAACAAAATCCATAATTTTTGTTTTTGCTATATCATGTTGTGTATGATATATTTATTACATCGCATTTGATACATTGGGTGTTTTTGGCAACGTTTTGTTAACAACAATGTTAATTTTAGACAAAAAAAAAGAGTTTTGTCCATAACAAGTATTGATCATGTTGCTGAGATAGAGGTCTCAGAAACTCATGTATCAAATATGATACAAAGGGCATTATTTGTGGGGTCAGATATCCTTATAGGGCAGCACGGTGGTGTGCAGTTAGTGGGATCGGGTAAATGGATAGTTGTAGATTGCCCGTATGTGTGAATCTTTGTGCTAGCCTGGCGACAGGCTAACGATCTGTTCAGGGTGTACCCCGCCTCTTGCACTGTAGTAGCTGAGATAGGCTTCAGGTTTTGAAAGTTTTAGCCACTTTTCCTACAAATCAATAAAAAGTTGAAAAAATTTATGCTTTCCTGGTTAGTTTTGGGCACCAAAACAACCCTAATTTAGGAAAAGATCATGGTGTGGTTTAAAATAGACCTTTTGGTTCCTCAAGTGACGAGTCTCATCCCTACAGTATGCCCCCAGCAACTGCCTTTATTATAAAAATACTACATTTTAAACCGTGGACCAAAATAGCTATTACACGTTTTGCTTTTGGTCTCATGCAAGCTAAAAAACATATTAATGAGAATGTGAGCAATCACAGTTGCTCATACCCTGTAATACTGCAAAAAGAAATTTTAGGCTGTGGCTTTTCTCAGTGTGTCTGATTTTCATGTGGATGTTAAAGCACCAACCGGTCCTAACCTGCGATGAACACAGGGGGCAGAAATCCTCTGTCAGCCAAAAGCACAAATAGCGATACTTACAGATACCTACAGGGATACAGTACATAGATCCAAAAACAACTGCACATACATTTATGCAAATAAAGCCAAAACACTGACAGGAAAAATCAGTATCCATAATAAGAAAAGTACCAAATGTGATATTCTGGATCATGCAATATAGTGAGTGATCAAATATACACATTAAAAAGCTATAAATGCATATAAAAAGCAATCCATTAGATGACCCTACATAACTAAATTGTTTATCATAGGGCCTGTGGTAAGACATAAAGACCTCTTAATGAGCACAACAATAATTCCTCATTTCATCCCGGAAGATATACTATTTGCACAGGATGTATCCCGCAGGCCAAATTTCTGCTTTGTGCTGTTCCACTGCAGGATTTTGCTTCTGCCCAGTTTTATCTGTAACTTTTTCTTGATCTCAGTTCTCCCGCTAGTGGAAAAGCTGCAGGTTAGCTTGATTTCAAAGTTTTAAATGTGAGAGAGTTTATCGAGCTCTGAACTTTCCCTGTCATTAAAGGCTCATTTTTAATGTCCGTTAGCTGTGGCTGTCTTTATTTATTTTTTCCACTTTACTGTAGGCCGTTTGCACATGGGTACCCTGCCTTTTGCATAACGTACAACTGTACAATCAGCTACTTCGTATAAGTCCAGACTAGAGTGTCCTTGCAAAGGTCGGCTGCTGAAGTGATCTGGCAAGGTTGTATTCAAATATAGGAGCCCCAGTTGTAGCACTCAGCTATTTGTGTAATGAGAAAAATGTTGATTACTATTTTTTTTTGTAAAAGAGGAAGATGTAAGAGAGGAGGGAAGGAAAGAGTAATGACAGGTAGTGAGGCTGATGGCAGCGATGGAGGGAGAATTAATAAAGAGAGACAGACAGGAATCGAGTTAAAACGATGGGATGAGCTGAGGGGAGGTATAATGATGGAGAAGAGAGAAGCTGAGGAGAGATGGAGAGAGGGGGAGAACAAAGAGAGATGTCACATGTCCTTTATGTTGAGAGGGGCTGGAAAGGGAGACACCTTCATGCAAAGACCTACTCACATGTGTTTGTGTGCATTTGCTTTCAGCAAAGTTTGTTTGCAGTTTCACAGGTGAACGCGATCGCAAGATTGCATCTGCTTTTGTGCACATGACTTCTTTTTCTTTCTTTCCTTTTTTTTGGCCAGAAATGGAAAGAATAGAGAACTAAATACACAGCAGAGGTGAGCTCGACAGAGGGAGAGAAAGGAGAAAATGTAGATATAGCACTCAACAAGGACGAGAGCGGACAAAATACACAAAGCAAGGGAGCCAAGTAGAAAATGGCAATAGAGCGCGAGAGCATGAAGCGGGGCGAGAACATAAAGGAGAGGGATGATTGATAGAAATTACTAAAAGGGGGAAAGAAAGGCTAAGAGAGTGTAAGGGACGGAAACAAAAATGATACGGCAGATAGATAAAACAAGGGGGGAGGGATAAAAGAGTGTAATGGGGAGAGGGAAAGAAGGTCAGAGAAATGAACGAAAAGGATAATTGGCCAGAAAAACAGAAAAGGCTTTGGCAGCTGAGAGCGAGAGAGGATGCAAGGGAGGAAGAAGGTGACAAAGGAGAGACGGGACAAAAGGGTGACAACAGAGGGAGTCAGGTTTGGTCGTGGTGGGGCACAAAGATGACTTATGGTGATCTCGACTCCTGCAGTTTAAAAAAAAAATCCATTTCAACCTCTTTCTAAGATGTTTTACAGTAATGATGTCACTCTGTCTGCCATCGTTCCTGGCAAGCCAGTAATAATTCATACAGCCACTAGAGGCCCTGATGGGTAAATTGTACTGATGTGCCAATGTGATTTTCTATGCCTTGATTAAGGACGATCTGTCAACTCACAGTGGGGTCTTTTCCCCAAATAATAGCTATATTTTATGGAATGGAATCACTTTTATATAAATGAAAAGGTAAATTCTTTATTTATAAAGGTGGCCACTCATTTCTGAACTAGAGCAAAAATACCAAGAATTTCACACATGCACAGACGAAAAGCTTAATGACGGAAATACTGACACACCGAAGCAGCAAAATGTGCCACAGCATGTCACTACCTGAGGGGAAAACCAGGGAAACTGTACCGAGCTTCTTCAAAAGTCCTCCTTTTGCTTTTGATCTTTAGTCGTTCTTGCAGTACGCTAGTATGTAACCCTGCAATATTGTAAATATATTGTAGTAATGCAAAAACTGCTTGCTTTTTAAAACACTGTTCTTATTCTTCTTTACATTTTCCGAGTACGTAATTTGAATTCGAGATGGATAGGTGAGTCCATGGGTAGAGACAGATAAAGGCAAAGATACAGAGTTCAGTAAAATGAGACAGGAAATAGAAAAATACACTGAAATGGAGAGTGAAAGAACATCTGACAGCTAGGAAAAAAAGGGAAGGGAATAAGTAGAGAGCAGCATGAGAGAAAAGATGGACTGACAACCCCTTAAAAGATAGAGATTGGAGTGAGAGGGAGGGACCGAATGAGGCGGGGAATAAATGGAGAGAAGAGAGAGCGATCGAGTGAAAATGAGCAAGAGAATACCGAGAGTGGGGGGGAAGAGAGAGAGCCGTGTCTCACTCTCATCAGTCAGAGCGTTGCTCATCCACCGGCAGAGGATGCCTTTGTCACCATGACGGATCCTCGCTGTCTGTGCGCCGCTCGCCGCCAACACCATTACAGAACATTACTGATGTACACACAGAAACACACAGAGGAGAGAGAGACATATTTAGGAAGGGAACACATGCAGTGGTGATAGCACACGGCATTTAATAAGAAGAGGCGCAGGTATTGTGTCAAACATACAAAGGAACACAAAACATACTCACTCAGGACAGGAGCCTGACATGCGCTGGTATTGATATGTTGTGTTATTGACCTCTTTAGATCTTGTTTTGATGTGATATGTGCACATTATGCACAGCACGGCTACAGCTGATAATAGTTTCTATGGTAGTCGGTCTGTTAGTTAAATAATAAGTCATTTAGTCCAGAAAAGGGAGTAAAACGATGCAATAATTATTTGCATATAAATGCAGAAGACACAAGTTATTTAATCATTAAAATATTGCAAATGATTGACAGTCAGCTGAATCCATCATTAATCAGTTCGATAGCTTAAGCTTTTAGCTGGATAATGACATCTGATTGGAGGCGTTACATCTTGTGTCCCACATCAAGGGAAGCAGTGACGCTTTGCGGGCTCCTGTTTTTCTCTGTTAAAAAAGGGCCTTTGAAATGAGCAAAAAGCAGGAAGAAGGCGTACATTCATTTTTTTTTCTCGTGGCCACACTGTCTGCATTTACACCTCACCTGTGTGCTCACAATACCAGCTTCTAGATGTGGTTTGGCCAAGGTTGTAGCAATCCAGTTGCATTGTGTTGTGCGTGCATTTACGCCATGCATTGCCAGATGTTTTTTACTTAAAATACCCGGACAGATATTTCATGGTAATCCAAGGTGTGGAAAGAGATTTTGTGCCTGTAGAGTATTTGACACACAGACTATACACACACCGAGCACAATATGTTCACAGTAAGCATTCACAGAGTCTTATTATTTGGATACAACGCATAGCTGTTCGTGCGCATAAAACCAACATCCACACAAACGGTGAGAGAAAACAACATGCAGTTAACACTCACAAGCACACTCATAATGTCATGCTCATTTGGCAGCTGTGCACAAATAGTCAAACTGTTAAAAGGAAGAAACCCTGACACATGCACAACACGCGCGCACATACAAATGCTCGTGTAACACTCAGACAAAAATATCTAATTTCCTCCATGTAGACAGACACGCACTTGTTGTGCATCCCATGTGCGCTCTTCATCTTTTCCATCTTTTGGCGCGCTCGTTTTCTTTCTGTCGTTAAAACCGCAGTGACAAACAGCAGCATATGCGGCTGTGCCGAGCAACAGCTGTTCAATGGGAGATTTTGTGTAAGAATGAATGTTAACGTGGGCTGTGAATAAAATGCTAACAAAGCTCCGTGTGTCTCTGTGTGTGTGTCTCCGCAGTACTATGAGATGTCCTACGGTCTCAACATTGAGATGCACAAGCAGGTAAGAAACTCTGCATGTAGTATGATTGGATTTCTTCCAACCTCCATGTTGTTGCTGTGTGTTTGGTTGCCATGCATATGTGTACAGTGTAATGTGGCTGGGTTTAAACTGTATTTTCTTGCGACCTCTATGTATGCAAACAAATAGGACACTTATTGGTTAAATGTATGGTTGTAATGCTGGTTAATGCATACCACCACCACCACCACTTCAAAATGTACTTTGCATATAAATACACACAAATCTTTCTCTTGACTGAATTTTTGCATGATATTAGTATTCTGATAATGTATATATTTGGAAGGCATTTGGGTATTTTGTGGTTAGGAGTGTGTTCACACATCTTGGTTAATTTGTTCCCGTATTTTAAATGATTTTGTGCACACGCTTTGGTTTATTCGTGTGCTTGTAAATGGAGAGCCTGCACAGCAGATTAGCCTTTCTCCCCAAAGCATTAGGTGAACTCTGCCTGCTACTTAGTACAGAGTTGTTAAAATACAAGCACCGTCTGTTTCCTAGAGTAGTAAAGCACACAGCAAGCTACAGTCAAGTGTTTGTGAAGTGATTATGCTGACGCTACTCTGACTGAAGATATCGGACATTTTTGTATTATCTCGGGGCTCTTTGCAGATGGTCCACGTAAATTTGTCCTGCTGGGGTCGCACGTAGAAATTTCAATAAGCCTCATCCAGCTGACCTACTGTCAGAGTCAGTTTGCAAAAAACACCCAAACCAAGCGAAACCTTTTATCCATTTATCTTCTTCTCCTACTACTATTATTGCTCTTTAAAACTGCAATGAAAGCAATAACTAAATATATGTAGCTCCCAGCTGTGTTTCTGTAGATAGGTTATGAATAAGAAAATTTAGCTGGGTATCATTTATAAGGCATATGATGTTAGTTATGCTCTTCCTTGTGTTTTAACTCCACAAAGGACTATAATGGTGCAGCACGGTTATAGAAAACCCAGCTGCTGGATTCAGACTGGCTGCAGTAGAAGGAGTGAAATATGCATTAATAAAGTTCAATAATTTGATTAAGAGTTCAAATACTCCACGGCCATGTTGGAGTTTAATTTCAGAACCTCACAGCTGCTCTGTCACTAGTAAATGAGTAAAAAGTGGCCTTGAAAGATTTTTCGCTCTATGGTTACTGACAGGCTCCATAGACGGAGTGATCCCAGTTTTTCCTCCTCATTTATGAAGACTAATAATCAGCCCAAACGTAGCAAGTTGTTTCAAAAGGCTGAAATTTTAGTAAAGGTCACTGCCCAACATTTCAGTTTGGAGCTGCAGCGATTCATCGAGTAAGTTAATAACTTAAAAATTTTGCTTTGATACTTTAAAACCGCGACTCTGCAGCGCTCAGTTCTCACTGTGTAACAGTTTAACGTGTCTGTCTGCACACACAGTGTTTACACACAAGGCTGATATCAGGGGTCCTACTATCACTGCAGTATGCAGGGGTGAGCCTGAAGGGGGGCATGGGGTGTACTACACCATGTTTATTTTAAGGCTTTAGTAACATTACTTTTGCACATGTAGTTAATATAAAATATAGGAAACACATACACATGAACATACACCAACTCTACGTATAAATATTGTCAGTATTTTATTTTATGGCTTTGTGTCGGTCCTATGTATAACTATTCTATTTAACATCACTGTACTTGTGATTGTTTATTTATTTTTGCGTTTTTAAAAAAAGTTTTCTTTAAAAAAAGATTTTAATATGGCAATTAAATACAACGAGAGAGTTTAGTATTTGTGGACAGATGTTGGACACATTGCAGTTTCTCAAATGAAAACCAGTGAGTGCTTCGTTTTTTCCTCTTTGACTAACTAATAACTAGTATCGCTCATGAATAAGACAAAAGTATTTTATGAGATCACTTGATTCATTGGAAAATTGATGGAATACTCAATATACCTGTGCATGCATCAAAAGCAAGCGCTGCAATCTCTGTATGAATGAAAAAGTCATCGGTTATCTCAAAATTAGGATAACCTAAGAATGTGTATTTGTGTGCATGTTTTGCTTGGTCATTATAAAGTAAAACAAAGAATAATGTGTGCAAATGAAAGAAGATATAATTACTCGTGAGAGACAGCTGACCGGCACAAAACGGTGACCTTAGCAATGATGAATGTATGTTATACAAAACTGGTATTGACAGATTGAAGACAGGTGACACTAGCTCAATAAGGATTAGCTATAATCTGCAGCATGTGATATGATCAGGGTGTAAAAATCATTCCCCATGGTTCTCCTACGGCACTGTAAAGAATACCATGTAGAGAGTAGTAAAGGAAGGTCGGTGTAAATTGTGCAGCGTTTCCACTTGTCCTTGCTGAGACTGGGTGTTCCTGTATGAAGACGTGTCTAATGAGCAGTGTGTGCTCTCAGGAGCCAGTGACTGCTTGAATTCCCACACTTGCTGCTAATTTGCTGTCTGTGTCACGTTACAGGAGAGAACAACAGTCAAACCGCACGTAGAAAGACGTGCAGACAGTGAGATAAATGTCTTGGCAGACGGACAGACGTTGAGACCTGAAAGCTGTTTTTTTTCTCCGTGTTGATAGAATTATTATCCGTGATTATCCACCTTAAAGACATTTCCTTTAAGAAGCCTGCATTTTCCCCCCACCTCCCTCTCTGTATATCTATCAATCTATCTGCGTCATGCTAACTCTCTCCCTCGCTCTCTGACTTAGACACTGTCATGGAAGAAAAGACAAGAGGGGTTTATTATTTTCACGTTTCACAATGGGCTCTCAACCTGCCTGTTATAGCCTTTCAGAAGGAAGCTCATTGTTTGAAATAATCTCCAAAACGCCTTTAAATGAAAGCCTCTGCACTTCAACCTCGTAATCATCGTGTCATTTAGCCATCAAGGCAATTATAGCGCAAAGACATCCAACAATGGCTCCACATGTCGAGTACTGTGTACATATGTGCTCCAAATCCTCTGCTGGGTGTCGTTAGCAAAGAGAAAACACATGTTTAGGGGCAAACGGGGCATATGTATCGATTGATCTGAATCAGCTGTATTAATTTGAGTCGAGATCTTTGTGTAAAGCATCCATCAAAAACACTGCATCGCATTCTGTTGTTGCACTAGAACTTCCTCTTAAATCACGTTGTGAGCGAACAGAGTGCAGCACAATACGTCTCTTTCCTTTGGTGAAGTAAGGATGCGTTGTGGATTGCCTCTTATGTTGTAGTGTTTTTGAAAACTACAGTTATACTTCAGCAGCCTATTCAGTGTTTGCGGTAGGTGAGACTGCCCATCGTCACCTCGCTGAAAGTTCATCAGCTTGGTTCCTGTTTTCTTGTAGATTTTTTTAGGCCTACAGTCTGCATATCAGATACATACTTAGATTAGTGATATTTAAGACATTATGTAACATGCTTGTGAGGCACCTTCATGCTAATTCAAATCCAGCCTCCACATCTTCATTAAAAATCATTATTCTGGTCTGCTATCATACATTATCTGTTTTTCCAGTGCACAATTTCTGCTTTCAAATATAAAAAGTTTAATGGATGCACTGGGGGCAATTTGAGGTTAAGTCTCTTTCCCAAGTACGCTCTAACATGCATAGTCTTCCAAAATTTAGCATATTTCTTTCTACCCTTCCTCAGCCTTACAGTGGACACTACTACATGGCACAACTACTGAGGAGCAACGATCAGAAAGAGTGGAAGACTGCAAGAGATGGAAAAAAAACAAGAATGGGGGACTAGAGTTGAAAGAGATCGCAGTACTGTGAAGGTTTTGTGTTAGCAACCATTTATTTCATAGAGGAACAATTCGAACTACAGTAGGATAGAGAATGATATAATGATATGTCAGCTTTTATTAGTCCAACTGGGGAATTAAATACTTAAATAATAATACTTGAAACAAATAAAGCCAACCACTGAAATGCAATTATCTTTGCTTTCCTTGACATTTAATGCTACCCCCCTTTTAAATGTATTTTGGGTAAACCAAACGAAACGCAGTGAAAGTTTTATGTTAATCACAAAAAGGGAAACTATTACTCAGCAGGAAGGGAGAATAGATAAAGAGAGGCAGAGCGAGTGGGGAGAGAGAAATGTGGCTGGCAGCAAAAGCCAGGCAGAACTGGACTGTCAGCTTTTGTCGCCAAAAAAGAAGAAATGGACTCGGTGCTGGCTGCACCTCTGAGAGATGAAGAGAGAGGAGGAGGGCGAGGAGGAGGATGATAGGTGGGGAGGATGACAAAGAGAGACCAAAGGAGAAGTGAGTGAGGAAAATAGGAGGAGTGGAAGGAGAGATGGGAAGAAAAGATAGAATGACAGGAGGAGACCAAAGAGCCGGAGTGGGGCATATGAGAGTGAAAAAGAGAGAAAGTAATGAAGAAGAAGTGGTCTGGTGTCAGGAACCAGCGAACGAGGCTGCGAGAAGAGCTAGCAGCCAGAATATGAGAGCGAGGAAAGGTGGAAACAATTTATGATTGAGCAGCGGGAAGGAGAAGTGCATATGTGCAGAAGGAAGGAGGAGGGCGGTTAAAAGGGATGGGAAAAGATGTAGGAGAATCGGCGTGAGAGGAAATGTGAAGCAGATAGCAAAAGAGTACGCACGGTATCGCAAGTAGAAAAGGAAACAGAGAAGCCCAATTTGACAGAAATAGAATAAAAAGAAGGCGGTGGAAGGGAAAGTGGTCTAGCACGGAAAATTAGGGAAGTACTGTAAAAATGGCATCAAAAAGAGAGAAGATGTAAGAATTTTTGAGAGAAAAGAAAGTGGACACAGTCATTGCACAGAACGAGAGGTTGTGGAGGATGTTACAAAGGGAGAAGGGCTATAAAAGTGAGTGGAAGAGTTTGAAAAAGTAAGATCATTTATAAAATTGGGGACTGAAGACATAAAAGTACAAGTGCACGTAGAAAAAGACTGTCAGAGTATGGGAGATGGGGAAACTTTAAAAAAATGGCAGGGAGAGCCGATGTTGGAAAAAGTGTGAGAGCA